AGATGGAGGTTGCTAAGACAACTTGAACATTATTTAGTGCACTCAGGATATGAAAATATAAGTGCCCAAAAGAATCATCATACCTTGGCAGTGCTAAGATTGCTTTCCATGTGGCTATTGACGTACTCAGATGAAATTAATAAAATGAAAAAGAAAATAAAAAATAGAAACCTGATGCACATGGAAGTTAAAACTTGGCCTTGCCCTTAGTAACAATGTGTATTTTAATGGGAGCCATAATTAAAAAATAAATGTGTGGATGAATATTTGGTGAAAAAACAGTCCAGAATAAACTGGAAAAATTACAGTATGATACAGACTTGCAGTTTGGAAAATTTCCACAATCAGAAAATAATTTACAGTTCCAGGAGCATCTAGAAACAATAAGAATGTATCCTATGCTGATGACCATGATGGTGCTGGCACTGCAATGTACTCAAATCCTATACACATGACAGTTGCTTGGACAACTTCCAGCACTTAGAGTGAGTTGAGGACCACACAATTATAAATCAAACCTTGGTACCCATCATTTACATGTGTTAGGAATGTCACAAATTGGGTTATTCATTACACATGCAGGTGATAGTAGTAAATGACAAAATAAATATGCATTCCATGGAAGGCATTTAATTTTGATTATGTGGTGTATAAATTAATTTGGAAGAAACAGTCATAATCATATAGAGATATGCTAATAATTGGATGGTAGAGTAGGGAGGGAGCTTACTGCTCTAGCCCAGGAGAAGATAGTTTTAAAAAAAGTGGAAATAGAGTAGTCTCCGGGAAGAGTTAGGGAAAAAAAATGACAGAGGAAATTCTACTGACATGAGAGGGACACAGTGGACCCACATGGAGGGTGTGGTGCCCACGGCTCATGACTCCAACAGGTGAGAGCCTATGCACCAGAACTGGAAAGTGAGGTGAGACAAGAACACAGTAGCCTGAGCCACTGGAAAATGTGGCAGGAACCTAGAGGGAATGAGGCTTAAATCTCCAAGGGAAAGTGTGCCAGCCAAACTAGAGAGAAAAAAAGGGACAGTACAGACACGTTTCTCTCTCTCCAATCACCTCACAAAGGCATGCAAGCTGATAGAGCAGGAGCCATTTTGGACATACATAACAGCTGTGCCAGCCTGTGTCTGCACAAGGCAAGCAGCTGACTGGAAACTCCTGATGCTGGTAGGGAGAAATAACAGGAAGCCAGGAACTTGTGACTGTGTGAAACTTCTGAAGCAAGACTGTGAAAAGATAAAAAACTGAGGGTGTGTGGGAAGACTCACGGTGTGGCTGGGACTTTGAGCACTCTCAGTGGGAGAGGCCACAAGCTTGGGGGTTCCTGGTTACCTGATGAGAGACATTTCTGGAGAATCTGAACTTATACTGAGGACTACACAGATCCTTTGTGTGGTTCTTTGGACAGAGCAGACAAATATTATACCCACTGGGGCTAGTACTCAGGCACTGGTCTCCATTGAGGAGAAGAGCCCAACCGAGCAGAATATACTTCCCTTCTGATTAAAAAAAAGGAGAAATAAGACTTAACATGCCAAACTTGGGTGTGTCACCTGAGGCACACCCTTAACCCTGGAGACTGAACAGAGTTCTCTGGCCACACCCACTACAAGCCTCCAGAGATTCAGTGAAAGCAGAAAGTTCACTTATCTACAGAGTCATAGTACAAAAATAAAATCCACCACAGTGGAATAAAAAGAAATCTTGTTGCTCTGGACAAGTGGTGGCAAATTCTTTCTATTTCTGTTATGAAAGGTCTTTATTTCACCTTCATTCACGAATGAGAGCTTTGCAGGGTATAATAATCTGGGATGACAGCTTTATTCTCTTAGAACTTGGGCTAGATTTTGCCATTTTCTCTTAGCCTGCAGGGTTTCTGATGAGAAGTCTGCTGTGAGTCTAATTGGAGATCCTCTGAGAGTAATCTGATGTTTCTCTCTTATGCATTTTAGAATCTTCTCTTTTTGTTTCACTGTGGCGGTTTGATTACAATGTGTCATGGCAAGGATGTTTTCTGATCATGTCTATTCAAAGTTCTGTGTGCTTCCTGTACTTGGATGTCTCTTTCTTTTTCCAAACCCAGAAAGTTTTCTGCTAGTATTTCACTAAAAATGCCTTCTAATCCTTTCTCTCTCACCATGCCTGCAGCAACTTCTAGAACCAGAATGTTGGTCTTTTTTTTTTTATAGTATCCTGTAGATTCCCAACAGTCTTTTTTAGATTTCTAATCTCCTGTTCTTGTGTTTGGTTTGACTGTATACTTTCCTGTACTCTGTCTACTAAGTCTGGTATTCTCTCTTCTGCCTCACTGATTCTATTTTTAAGGCTCTCCATTGCATTTTTCACTTGTTGTATTGAATTCTTCATTTCATTTTGATTTCTTTTTAATATCTCAGTTTCATGTTCTGTTGAATTCTTCATTTCATCTTGATTCCTCCTGATAATTTTTACTTCATGGGAGAGATTTTCTTTCATGTCCTTCATGGATTTCAGTAGTTTGTGCATTTGCTTTTGATTACTTCTATGTAATGTTATGACCAAATTTTTGAGTTCTATTTCTTGCATTTCTACTCTCATCATCTTCATGACCTAGTATTGAAATGTCATGTTCTTTTGGGAGCATGATGATGTTTTCCTTATTCTTGCTTCTTGGATTCTTGCATTTGGCATTTGTGGAAATACTCGTCTTTTTTTTTTTTTCCTGGCAGTTTTTATCATTGTATTATAACTGTAGATAAATGGACTTTCTGCTTTCACTGAATCTCTAGAGGCTTGTAGTGGGTGTGGCCAGAGAGCTCTGTTCAGTTTTCAAGGGTAAAGGGTATGCCTAAGGTGACACACCCAGGTTTGGCATGGTAAATCTCTTTTTTTAATCAGAAGGGAGTTATATTCTGTTCAGCTGAGTTCTTCTCTTCAATGGAGACCAATGCCTGAGTACTAAATCAAGTGGGTATACTATTCACTATGTCCCAAGGACCACATAAGGATCTGTGCTCTCAATGTGGGACCTCTGTCCTTAGTGAGAATTAACAGTAAATCTAGTCTTCAAACACCTGTTTAGCTGGGAGCCTAGGAAAAAATGCTCAGGCAAGTAATATTGTGAAAAATTAGTTATAAGTATTATGAAAGATAACCCAGACAAAACAGCAGTCCAGCAAATCATTCAACCTCACTGAAACTACCAGTGGCTACATCATTCATTTTCTATTAAATCTGTTTATAATAAGATTTAATTTGATGAACACTTGTAAGAAGCTGTGGGGACTTAAACAGGGATGAAGAGCTATTTTTATGGGTAGTAATGGAGGTGGAATGGATTAGTTGCAGAGTTAATATCTAGATGGGAAATAAAAGAGCTACTGCGGCTAGATGCATCAAAGCATTTGTAGCCCTATTATCATGGGATAGCCAAGCAACCTAGGAAAAGTGTTCCTCCTGAGGGTATCCTGAGGAACTAACTGAATGTAAATCAGATTTATATTAATCCAGAAAGGACTTTGTAAATCGGAAGGAATAAAAACACACATTTTCAATAAAAATGAGGGCCACCTGCAGGAGCAGGGAATAATGCAACAAAAAAAGGTTATAAAAAATTATAAGTTAAATTAATACAAAAGTGTACTACAGGGGCCAGCACTGTGTCACAGCAGGTTAATGCCCTGACCTGAAGTGCTGGCATCCCTTATGGGTGCTGGTTCAAGACCCAGCTGTACCACTTCCAATCTAGCTATCTGCTATGGCCTGGGAAATAGTAGAAGGCCCAAGTGCTTGGGTCCCTGCACCTACATGGGAGATCTGGAGGAAGCTCCTGGTTTTGGATCAGCACAGTTCTGGCCATTGTGGCCAATTAGGGGTGAACCATTGGATGGAAAATTCTCTGCTTCTGCTCTTTCTGTGTAACTCTGACTTTCAAATAAATAAATCTTTTTTAAAAAATGCTACATTTATGCTCCTGCTTCTCTATTGCAATGGGTACCACATGGATAGACTTCATTCCATGTTCTTGTCTCAAGGCAATTAGGAATAGAATGAAAAAGCATAGAGAAGTGGCATCATGAATGAAAAAGGCATTATGCACTCAGTAATACAGGAAAATTCAGATGAGTGTGGCAACTTATAGGGTTTGAGGTTGTCCCTTTAAAGATTGAGGGTAATGTGTGTGGCAACATCTACTTGCATATTCAAATAGACCTTGGGTAGTGGAATCTAATCCAGATGTGCACACAGATAAGTTGAAATTTCTCGTGGGTATATAGGTCAACACACACTCATTACCTTGTGTTGCACACAGCACTTATTACCCAGAGCCAGGGTACACTATTATGGCTGGAACGTGTGTCACTTGATATGCCTATGGTCACATCACTGGTTTGCACTACAATAATGTGGGGAAAGAATCCTGGGTGGCCAAAAAAGCAGCTATGAAACAAATAACTTTGTAATTGATGAAGATGGTATTCCAAGTAACCGTTGAAATAACTGTTACTCAACTTTTAAATATTTATTAACAAAATTTACACAAGAGAGCACAGTTCAGTTCGTATACTTGATCCCACTCACAATAATGAGAAACCAAAAGTTCAGGTTGTATCAGAGAAAAATTTCTGAAGAACGGTTAACCACTCTCTGTCTTAATTCATCATGAAAACTGCCCAATACTCACTAAGGTGTGATTCCACCAAAGAATTCTTCCAGACAAATTATATTTCAGGGAATTCTCTCTGTAATCTTGCTATGTTCTGTGGAAGTTTGCCTAATAATAAAGGTATTTCCCATTACAATACAGTCATAGGATTTTTTCTTTCTGTGAGTTGTCAGGTAACCATTGAGAGGTGACATATGGTACATGACTTTTCTATGCATGTATGTTTTCTCATTTTGGAGTCTCTTCATGTGAATTGATTAATGGCAGAAAATTTTTTTCACATTCATTAAATTGACATTTTACTATATGAATTCTCTTGTGTTAGTTGATGTTTAATTTCTTGTTTTTTTTTTTTTTTTTTTTTAAGATTTTTATTTATTTGACAGGTAGAGTTGCAGACAGTGAGAGAGACAGAGTTAAAGGTCTTCCTTCTGTTGGTCCACTCCTCAAATGGCCACAATGGCCAGAGCTGCACTGATCTGAAGCCAGGAGCCAGGTGCTTCTTCCTGGTCTTCCACTGGGTGCAGAGGCCCAAGCACTTGGGCTGTCTTCTACTGCTTTCCCAGGCCACAGTAGAGAGCTGGATTGAAGAGGGGCAGCTGGGACTAGAACTGGCACCCATATGGGATGCCAGCATAGCAGGTGGAGGGTTAACCTATTGCTCTACGGTGCCGGCCTGATGTTTAATTTCTGGCTATGGTTTTTTGAGGTCTATTGCACTTGAAGGATATCACCTTTTTTGAGTTGCATATTTATGCAAGCCAGAATTCTATGAAAATATGCTTCCACATTCATTACACTCCTAAGAAACCCCTTGTGTGAATTTTCTGATGTATAATGCCATTTCTGACAAATGGCTTTTTATCACACTAATAATATTTCTGAACTTCTTTTTTTTTTTTTTAACAATTTACTTTATTTATTTGAAAGACAGAGTTAGAGACAGAGAAGCAGAAAGAGGTCTTCCATTCACTAGTTCACTCCGCAAGTGGATGTAATGGCTGGAGCTGCAGGGATCCAAAGCCAGGAGTCAGGAGCTGCTTCTGGGTCTCCCATGTGGGTGCAAGGCCATCTTCTACTGCTTTCCCAGGCCATAGCAGAGAGCTGGATCAGAAGAGGAGCAACTGGGACTAGAACCAGTGCCCACATGGTATGCCGGCATTTCAGGCCAGGGCTTTAACCTACTGTGCCACAGCGCTGGTCCCAACCTTTCTTCCTTATGGGAGTGCCTATTGTATGGGATGTAATTTCCAGCAAAAGGCTCCGTCACATGGTTATGTTGATTTTGGAAAAAGTCCTTCACATTCATTATATTCTTAAGTTCTCTCCCTTCTTTGATCTACATGTTATGAGGTATTCCTTCTGACAAAAGGCTTTCCCACATTTATTACAAGATTTACACCATGTAATAAATTCTCTGATGTTATATTGTGTGATTTTGGCAGAGTTTTCCAACATTCATTCCATTCATAAGGTTTCTCTCCCATGTGAATTCTAATGTTTTATGAGGTGTTACTTATGGATAAAGGCTTTTCCATATGCATTATATCCAAAGTGTTTTCCCCCATATGAATTAGATGATGTGCAATGAAGGCTGAATTATGGGAAAAAGCTTTCCAAGTCATTATGTCCAAAAGGTTTCTCTTCAGGTGCATTTTCTGATGCATTCTAAGATGTGACTTATTGCCAAGGGCTTTTCTACAGTCATTGCATTCATAAAGTTTCTCCCCAGTGTGAATTCTCTGGTGTGACATGAACTATGATTTATAACATATGATTTATTAAGGCTTTTCCACACTTACTAGATTCACAAGGTTTCTGCCCTGTGTGAATTGTTTTGATATGAGTATAACTTATAGAAAAAGGCTTTTCTGCAGTCATTACATTTATAAGGTTATTTCCCTGTGTGAATCCTCTGATGCATTTGGAGTTGGAACTTAAGATTTTCCACAGTGATTACACTCATGAAGTTTCAATACTGTGTGCATTCTCTGGTGCATTATGAGGTTTAACTTTTGTCCAAAGGCTTTTCCAGTCATTACATTCATAAGGTATCTGCCCTGTGTGAATTCTCTGATGCATGATGAAGGTCGAATTATGGCTAAATGCTTTCCACAGTTATTACAATCATGAGTTTTCTACCCTGTGTGAATTCTCTGCTGTGATATGAGGTCTGTATTTGTCCAAAGGCTTTTCCACAGTCATTACATTTATGAGGTTTCTCCCCTGTGTGAATTCTCTGGTGTATGATGAAGTGTGACTTTCATCCAAAGGTTTTTCCACAGTCATTACATTCATGATGTTTCTCCCCTGTGTGAATTTGCTGGTGTATGATGAGGTGTGACTTTTGAGTAAAGGCTTTTCCACAGTCATTACATTTATGAGGTTTCTCCCCTGTGTGAATTCGCTGGTGTCTGATGAGGTTTGACTTTTGTCCAAAGGCTTTTCCACAGTCATTACATTTATGAGGTTTCTCCCCTGTGTGAATTCGCTGGTGTATGATGAGGCTTGACTTTTGTCCAAAGGCTTTTCCACAGTCATTACATTTATGAGGTTTCTCCCCTGTGTGAATTCGCTGGTGTCTGATTAGGTTTGACTTTTGTCCAAAGGCTTTTCCACAGTCATTACATTTATGAGGTTTTTCCCCTGTGTGAATTCGCTGGTGTATGATGAGGCTTGACTTTTGTCCAAAGGCTTTTCCACAGTCATTACATTTATGAGGTTTCTCCCCTGTGTGAATTCGCTGGTGTATGATGAGGTCTGACTTTCGTCCAAAGGCTTTTCCACAGTCATTGCATTTATGAGGTTCCTCCCCTGTGTGAATTCGCTGATGGTTTATGAGGAATGACTTTTGAGTAAAGGCTTTTCCGCAGTCATTACATTTATGAGGTTTCTCCCCTGTGTGAATTCGCTGGTGTCTGATTAGGCTTGACTTTTGTCCAAAGGCTTTTCCACAGTCATTACATTTATGAGGTTTCTCCCCTGTGTGAATTCGCTGATGTAAGAGGAGGTTTGACTTTTGTGTAAAGGCTTTTCCGCAGTCATTACATTTATGAGGTTTCTCCCCTGTGTGAATTTGCTGGTGTATGATGAGGTGTGACTTTTGTCCAAAGGCTTTTCCACAGTCATTACATTTATGAGGTTTCTCTCCAGTGTGAATTTGCTGATGTTTCCTGAGGTTTGACTTTTTTCCAAAGGCTTTTCCACAGTCATCACATTTATGAGGTTTCTCCCCTGTGTGAATTCGCTGGTGTATGATGAGGTTTGACTTTTGTCCAAAGGCTTTTCCACAGTCATTACATCTATGAGGTTTCTCCCCTGTGTGAATTTGCTGGTGGATGATGAGGTGTGACTTTTGTCCAAAGGCTTTTCCACAGTCATTACATTTATGAGGTTTCTCTCCGGTGTGAATTCGTTCATGTTTCCTGAGGCCTGACTTGTGTCCAAAGGCTTTTCCACAGTCATTACATTTATGAGGTTTCTCCCCTGTGTGAATTTGCTGGTGTATGATGAGGACTGACTTTCGTCCAAAGGCTTTTCCACAGTCATTACATGTATGAGGTTTCTCCCCTGTGTGAATTTGCTGATGTATGAGGAGGTTTGACTTTTTTCCAAAGGCTCTTCCACAGTCATTACATTTATGAGGTTTCTCCCCTGTGTGAATTTGCTGGTGTATGATGAGGTCTGACTTTCGTCCAAAGGCTTTTCCACAGTCATTACATTTATGAGGTTTCTCCCCTGTGTGAATTCGCTGGTGTATGATGAGTTCTGACTTTCGTCCAAAGGCTTTTCCACAGTCATTACATTTATGAGGTTTCTCCCCTGTGTGAATTCTCTGGTGTATGGTGAGGTGTGACTTCCACAGAAGGCTTTTTCCACATTGAAGGCATTTATGATGTTTCTCTCCGGTGTGAATTTGCTGATGGTTTATGAGGTATGACTTTTGTGTAAAGGCTTTTCCACAGTCACTACATTCATGAGGTTTCTCCCCTGTGTGAATTTTGTGTTGTTTCCTGAGGACTGACTTTTGTCCAAAGGCTTTTCCACAGTCACTACATTCAGAAGGTGAATTAAAACTGAGTGATTTCCCACAAGGTTTACACATGTAAAGTTTTTCCCTTGTATTTAGTCTCTGATTTATTGCAAGATGTGACTGGTGAATGACAGGCTCAACATACATAATGTACTTATAAAATTTCTTTCTTGTGTGAGTTTGTTGATGCATATTGAGGCTAGAATTGTCATGGATAGCTTTTTCTATTTGCGTTGCTTTTCCAAAAGTGACAGTTGATTTATTACAGTTTTCTGCCATATGAACCCTCTCAGATTTACAGAACATCTTTCTTGTGAAGACTGTTGCTTGTCCAGTGGGTCCAAATGGCTGCTTCATGATGTGAATATTGTCATGCTGACTAAGAGGCTCACAGAACTGGAGAGATTTTCCAGGTATCTTAGTGTTATCAAATTTCTCTCCAGCCTGTAGTTGATCAGGCCCACTGGGGGGAAACACAGTGTGACATTTATTGCATTCCTCAGGCTTCAGTCCTGAATAGATTCCCTTTTTAATAATCAGTGTTGGAACATGGATTGAATTTAAACTAAGTGTTTTTCTTAATTCTATTCTCTTGAGAGCTGATGTCTTGTTATTTTTCATAAAATCCTGATTCAGATTTTTGTCCTGACTTTGCTGGTTGATCCTAATCAGGTCATCCCTTTTCATGACCACTGAAATGAGAAAAAGCAATCATGTCACTGAATCACATGTAACTGTTTCTCCTGGCATACTCATGTAAAGGGACTGAAGTTACTTGTTATACAAGTGGCATAAGATTTTCACAAAATCAGTATGAGGTACTTATTTGTGACCATTATATGGTTTTTCTCCTTAATAGATTAATATACCATGAGGTTTCCCAATGTTCAAACATGATCCTTTTTACTATGGGAAATTGTCAAGGATGGTGGAATGACATTTGTGCTATGATGTGTGGGATGCCTGCATCTCAAAACAGTGTCAGTTTGAGCCCTGGCTACTCTGCTTTCAGTACAGCTCTCTGCCTATGTAAACTGGAAGGAACCAAATAATGGTTCATGTGCCTGGGAACCTGTGAGAAACCAGGGAAGACTAGAGGGATTCTAGAGTTTTGGCTTCAGACTAGTTAGACTTAAGTGTTGCAGGCATCTGGGAAGTGAGCTAATAGAGGACTTCTTTCTCTCTCTCTCTTCTCTCACTATCACTCTGCCTTTCACAAAGATGAAGTAACTATAAAATATTTTAAAGAATGGACAAATATTTAATAAAATTATTCACCCACTACCTAGCAACCATTTTTTTCCCTGTGCTTTTTCTCCAGTTTATTTTTATAAAAATTGTATGCTTTTTGCTTCTCTGATATCTCAACCATAAACATGAAAAAGTTTCACTGATCATTTACTTGCAGGTGGAGAAGAGTGAAATGTGTCTGTACTTTAAGCAGGACAACATTTAAAGAGTATGATTTGAATCTCTGAGTGTCTCATGCTCAGTCTTCCTAGGTAAACATCATTTGTGGGATTTTTCAAGTGAAAAACTATTTTGTCTCTACTCTATGACAGCTTCCCCAAATTCCTAAGGACACCCAGCACCTTCAGCTTCTCAGAAGTACAACAGGAACAGAAAATTCCCAATATACCACTTTAGTTAAACACTCCCAATCAGTTTGAAGAATTTGTTTCTGCAAACCGGGATGTGCTCATCTTCTTTGAGAAGTGTTTTCTAACTCATTCTGAAATCATCAGTGCTGGTTACCTCCTCTAAATTCTTTCTAGAAGCATTCCTGTGTGATAATTTGCATTTCTGGAGGCTTTTGATCAGTTTCCTCCTATTTTCACTGAAAGCTTCATTTCCTATGCTTTTCTTATCTTTTCATTTGCTTATTTCTCAGTGATACTGAAAAATAAGAGAAATCATACTTCAAACTCCACCCTTCAAGAAATCTGAGCCACTCAACATAACCCCACGAGGCTACTTGACCTTGGGTCTCAAAATCTCATTACTTTCTTGGTGAGTCTAGGATCACTTATTTTCATGTTTTTTTTTTTTTTTTTAACTTTTATTAAATGAATATAAATTTCCAAAGTACGACTCATTGGTTACAATGGCTTCCCCTCCATACCGTCCCTCCCACCCACAACTCTCCCCTTTCCCACTCCCTCTCCCCTTCCATTCACATCAAGATTCATTTTTGATTATCTTAATATACAGAAGATCAGCTTAGTATACATTAAGTAAGGATTTCAACAGTTTGCTCCCACACAGAAACATAAAGTGAAAAATAATAGATGATTTTTTTAAATGATGATGAAATCAGATTAGACCTATTGTCATGTTTAATCCCAGTGAGAGTCAAGTTGGGAATTGATAATTTCTTTTTTTTTTTTTTTTTTTACAGAGGATCAGTTTAGTATGCATTAAGTAAAGATTTCAACAGTTTGCACCCCCATAGAAACACAAAGTGAAATATATTGTTTGAGTACTCGTTTTCATGTTTTATAAGTTTATGCTTAGTTTATGATTTCTTTTTTTCAAAGATTTACTTTATTTATTTGAAAGCTAGAATTATAGAGAGAGAGATAGAGAGAAGTCTTCCATCTGCTGGTTCAGTCCCCATATGGGCACAACAACCAATGCTGGGCCAAAATGAAGTTAGGAGCCAGGAGTGTCTTTCTTGTCTCCCACATGGGTACAGGGGGCCAAAGACTTGGGCCAACCTCTGTTCTTTTCTCAGGTGCATTAGCAGAGAGCTGGGTTAGAAGAGGACTAGCTGGGACTGGAACTGGCACCCATATGCAATGCTAGTGTTGCAGGCTGGAGCTTTAACCCACTGCACCACAGTGTCATTCCTAGCTTCATAATTTCTGATGTCACAGCACAGAGGCTTACTCATGACCATCTTTTATTTTAAAAGATTTATTTATTTGAAAGTCAGAGTTACACAGAGAGAGGACAGGCAAAGAGAGAGTAAGGTCTTGATCCAATGGTTCACTCCCCAATTGGCCACAACGGCCAGAACTGTGCTGATCTGAAGCCAGGAGCCAGGAGCTGCTTCTGGGTCTCCCTCAGGTGCAAGGGTCCAAGGACGTCTACTGCTTTCCCAGGCCATAGCCAAGAGCTAGATCGAAAGTGGATCAACTGGGTCCTGAACTGGTGCCCATATGGGATGCTGGTGCTTCAGGCTAGGGTGTTAATTCACTGCGCCACAGCACCAGCCACATGACCATCTTTTAGCATTTACTTATTTACTTACTTGAGAGTCAGAGAGACAGAATGAGAGATAAAGACAGACTGAAAAAGAGGTTTGCCAACTGTAGGCTCACTCCTCAAATGTTTCCAACAGACTATAATTTTCTTATTTGTTTGAGAGGCACAGAGGAAAAAAAAAGAAAGAGACTAAGAAAGAGAGAGTTCACATTTATTGATTCAGTCCTGAGCAAGTTCGATGCCTGGGCAAAATCATGACTAGGAATTCAATCTGAGCAATGAGTTAGAAATAAGTTTCTGGGGGCTGGCATTGTGGCATAGCAGGTAAAGCCACCACCTGCAGTGCCAACATCACTTATGGGCACCAGTTTAAGTCCTAGCTGCTCCACTTCTGATCCAGCACTATGTTATGGCCTGGGAAAGCAGTAGAAGATGGCCCAAGTTCTTGGACCCCTGTACCCATATGGGAGACCTGGAAGAAGCTCCTGGCTCCTAGCTTCAGATCAGTACAGCTCCAGCCATGACAGGCAGTTGGGAAGTGAATCAGTGGATGGAAGACCTCTCTCTCTGTGCCTTTCCTTGTTCTCTCTCTCTCTGACTTTCAAATAAATAAATAAATCTTTAAAAAAAAAAACAGAAACAGGCTGGTGTGGCAGCTCAATAGGCTAATCCTCTGCCTACAGCACTGGCACACCAGGTTCTAGTCCCGGTCGGGGTGCGGATTTTGTCCCGGTCACCCCTCTTCCAAGCCAGCTCTCTGCTGTGGCCCAGGAGTGCAGTGGAGGATGGTCCAGATCCTTAGGCTCTGAACCTGCATGGGAGACCAGGAGAAGCACCTGGCTCCTGGCTTTGGATCAGCACAGTGTGCAAGCCACAGCACACTGGCCATGGTGGCCATTGGAGGGTGAACCAATGGCAAAAGGAAGACCTTTCTCTCTCTCTCTCACTGTCCACTCTGCTTGTCAAAAAAAAAAAAAAAAAATAGAAAAATTAATCTTAAAAAAAATAAGTTTCTCTATGTTGCCTAAATAACAAGCACTGAAGGAACTAATAAGTGCATGAAGGAAAAGGTATGAACGTGTAGAGAAGGACAAGTTAGAATTGGGGGAATGTATCAAACCTAGATAAAAGCCTTAGTAACATCAGAAAATGACTGGATTTTTTTTTTAATCAAAGAACATCTTCACTAAGAACAAAAGTTAGAAAGATACTGGTATCTCTAAATACCTGTGCCTGATGCACAAAACCAGCTGTCAACAGGAGTAAGGCTTGAGAAAAATTCATGGAAAGAACACCAGTCAACATCTGCACACTCTGCCTTGGCCTCCCTGTCTGTTATGTGCAGACTGACCTGAAAGGCTCTGATTCAAGAATTCGTCCACCATCCACGGCACTTCTCCTCGCTCCAACTTGAAGATCAAGTCAGGTTTGGTAATGCAGTGCCCTATTAATGGAAACAAAGTAAGACTTTGTGAAATCGCTATCTTGGGTTATTTAAAGGACTACAGCTTGGTTCAGGAGCTATGCAACAAATGTTCCAATTTGAATCTTTTGTTAGATGGTAGATATTCAGATTATTCATGGACTCACATTCTAATCCTGCCCAATATTAAACATTATAAAGTGTTCCCTTATTTGTCAAATAGCAAGAAAATGTTATCACTGGGCGTGTGATGGGTGTCACTCACCCAAGGAGAACAGGTTGCTGTAGGTCTCCAGCATCACATCTCTGTACAGGATTTTCTGAGCATTGTTCATTTTCTGCCATTCCTCCCACGTAAAGTACACAGCCAGGTCTTCAAATGCTGTCATCACCTATAATAATACACTTCCAGTCAACATGTTAACTCTGTCACAAAATAAACACTGACAGTTGTGTATGGATATGAAGGAAAAAAGGAAGGATATGGTTTCACATCAGACTTGTTGAGTGTTTAGAAAGCCACACAGAGCATTCAACAGAGTCAAACCCATGATCTACAGGCTGTGAGAAATGCCCAAGCTGGAGGGAAACAGGTATGGTTATCTAGGAAGTGAATTAATGTGTCAAAGCTCTCTCTCTCTCTCAGTCCATCAAGTTTTTCTCTATCAAGCTAATAAATATTTTTAAGTAAGAGAGAAAATACAGGTAAGACAAAGAATACAAATTAGCTTTTGCCCTTATCTATGATTATTCTACTGATAAACAATTGAAATAACATTATACCTAATTAAAGTGAAAGCAATGGAAATACTTGCCCAAAACATTCAAATGATAAACATTTGAAATAACATTATACATAATTAAAGTGAAAGCAATGGAATTATTTGCCCAAAAAGAGAACCTGGGAATGTCTGCAGTACAATCTGCATTTGTGACTCACTGAGAAAAGAGATTTGTTTCAGAACCTGCAATAGTCACCAGAATTGTGATCCAGCAGGCTAAGCCTCCACCATCAATGCTGGCATCCCATGTAAACAGAGGACTTGAGTCCTTGCTGCTCCA